GCCCCAAGAAAGGAGGAGGCACTGGAGGAGAGAGATGAGGGCGAAACCTGTCTGAAGGTGCCAAACAGAGGGAAGAGCAACTCAGCGCTGGGCGGGGGCGGGGGTGGGGGGGAGTGCGTTTGTTGGAAGCAAAGAGCACAATGAAGTCCAGGGAGAAAGTGAGGCCAGGAGACAGGGAGGAGAGGGAAGCCAGGGCCAGGGTGGCTGGTCTCCTGGCCGTGATTGGAACTTGGGCTTGTGCTTAGAGTGACCTGGGATTCTGCATGGAGGAATGACATGGTCTGACTTACAGGAAATTGCACGCTATGACTATGTTGAGAATAAACTGAAGAGGTGAGGAAGCACAAGGGTGGGAGCAAAAGTAACAGGTAAGCAGCTGATAGAGTGGTCAGACTGAGATGTTCGTCGGTCTTGCTGGATGAGGTGGCATGGAGCTGTAGGGTGTGAAAAGGAATGACTTGCTGGATGACTGTCCTGGAATAGGGGAGAGGTGATGTGCTCTAACGAAAAAGTAGATCAGATAGACTTAGATAGGAGCACAGTTAATTCATTTATAGTTAGAGGAGGGAGGGCAGAATATATGCCATCGGGCTGGTGAATACGGGGTGCAGCCTCTTTTTCCTAAGTTGCCCTGAGATGACAATAATGCCAGGTATCTTCAGAGAGCAGGCCCCATGACCCCCTTCCCTAGTCAAAGTCCAGCTGCCAGGCCGGGAAACGCGCCGAGGTCCTGGACAGCGTCCTGCAAGTGGCCTCCGAGGCCTCTCCCGTCTGCTTGCCCTTCGCACTGTGACCGGCTGTCCTCCCTCAGAGGTGAAGTCTGCTTCCCAGCCCGTGGGTCGCCAGAGCACCGCTGCTCTGAAATCCTCTCGCTATCCAAGAACAGGCTGCAGTGGTACAGCGTAGGAATGGCAGGTGCACAGCCATATCGCTGACTGTCAGTAATAACTCCTGGGATACTCTGCATAAATCATTTCACCTATGGCCTCCTTTTCCATTTTCATAGTAATAACATATGAGAAGGAAGAATCTGACATATGAATGATGATCATATTTAACTAAGGAATAGCATCAATTTATTATGAGGTGGGTAGTAATGTATATTGAACAAACTCCTCTAATACTCCCAAATCTTTCTCTTCTTTTTTTTTTTAAATATATTTTATTGATTTTTTACAGAGAGGAAGGGAGAGAGATAGAGAGTTAGAAACATCGATGAGAGAGAAACATCAATCAGCTGCCTCCTGCACATCTCCTACTGGGGATGTGCCCGCAACCCAGGTACATGCCCCTGACCGGAATTGAACCTGGGACCCTTCAGTCCGCAGGCCGACGCTCTATCCACTGAGCCAAACCGGTTTCGGCCTCTTTCTCTTCTTTGGGCATTACTATATTGCTCCTCCGGAGCTTGTTCTAGACTGCTTTCCTTTGCGATCTATAATCATAAAAGCATAATATGCTAATTAGACCAGACGACCTTCCGGGCAAAGCCAGGGCTGTGCAGGAAGCCCGGGTCCCAGGTGCCTGCTGGTGGCCAGAGGGCCGGTGGCCAGAGGAAAGCCCAGGTCCTGGGTGCCAGAGAGAAGCCAGTGCTGGCAGCAGGGGAAGGAAGGCCTACTCTTGCATGAATTTCGTGCACCAGGCCTCTAGTAAGATAAGAAATGCTTTGGTTGGAATGGAAGTACTTCCCCACAAGAGTAATAAGTGGAGTTGATTGCGGGTACTAGTGCCCTGTAATGACTTGGTCTATCAGATTAGCCAGTCACTTAGCAGAGCCTTAAAGGAGAGGATGTAAGAAGGGCTGCTGGGGAGGAGAGGAAAACACTCCCCAACAGTGGACACTGGACAGTAGACTTGCAGAGGAAGAGCACAGAAGGCACCAGAAGCTGAGGATGAGTGAAGCTCTAGCAAAGGCAGTGGCGCCCTGGCCAGGTAGCTCAGTTAGTTGGAGCATCGTCCCAATGTGCCAAGAGTGTGGGTTCGATCCCCAGTCAGGGCACTTACAAGAATCAACCAATGAATGCATAAATAAGTGGAACAACAAGTCTATGTTTCTCTCTCTCTCTTTCTCTCTCGCCCTTCCTTTCTCTCTCTAAAAATCATTTTTTTAAAAAAAGACAATGCAATGGCATGGGGAGGGAAGAAAGGAAGGGTGGCTCGGAGAATAGACGCAAGGCTAGATGTCCACCTGGCATCCTGCATAGCAGCCATGTGCTCATAGAAGTGCTAGCACAATCCCTGGAAGCCTCAAATCTGGAGACCAGATTCTCTAGCAAGTCTTTCCCCTTCCTGGGCTCCTTTCCTCGTCTCTAAATTAGAAGTGATACTGCTACCTGACTACCCTTAGGGGGACATGGGGCCAAAAGACGTAATGGACTAAAAAGTAATGGTAGCCCGGCTGCATGGCTCAGTGGTTGAGCATCGACCTATGAACCAGGAGGTCACGGTTCGATTCCTGGTCAGGGCACATGCTGGGGTTTTGGGCTCGATCCCCAGTGTGGAGTGTGCAGGAAGCAGCCAATCAATGATTCTCTCTCATCATTGATGTTTCTATCTCTCTCTCTCTTCCTTCATCTCTGGAATCAATAAAAAGGTATTTTTTTTTTAAAAAAGTAATGGTGCTTTGTAAACTATAAAGCCCCAGACAAGTGTAGGGTTGTTGCTGTTGTTGTTGTTGTTGTTACTAGAGGCCCAGTGCACGAAATTCATGCACTGGTAGGGTCCCTAGTCTTGGCCGGTGATCAGGGCCAATCAGGGCCTTCCAGCTGCCAGCTGAGGCCTTCCTTCTGGCTGCCGGCTGGGGCCTTTCTTCATTCCGTGCCACCCCCTGCTGATCAGCACACATCATAGCGAGCGATCAAATTCCCCGTCTCCGGGTCGAATTCCTGAGGGGACACTTTGCATATTAGCCTTTTATATATATAGATTATATGCATTATTAAAGGAAATAAGGGAACTTTTTCCAAAATATGCAGAATGTAAAAGAATGGAAAGATTCTTTATATTCATATCTTTTAAAAATACATTTTTATTGATTTCAGAGAGAAAGGGAGAGGGAGCAAGAGATAGAAACATCAATGATGAGAGAGAATCATTGATTGGCTGCCTCCTGCACGCCCCACACTGGGGATCGAGCTTGAAACCCGAGAATCGAACCATGACCTCCTAGTTCATAGGTCGATGCTCAAACAATGAGCCACTCTGGCTGGGCTGTATTCATATTTGCATCATGTGAACAATCACCTTGGGAAAGGAGACTGTATCTGAGGTGAGTACTCTCCAACACTGAAATTACATGCAAATAAAATGAAACTTCATTTGTGAAGCCAGGCCCTTTCTCTTCCATTTAATGACCAGGATTCCAGAACCATCTCTCTTTCTCATCTCACCAGTTTGGTGAAGCAATGTTCAGATTACAAATGAACTGAGAAAGAGCAAGGATGGTGAAATGTGCACACTTCTTCCACAGGTGGTTTTGGGGGAGTGAGGTGGGGAGAGGGAGAGGCACTCTGCCAATTTTAGTAATACTCTGTAACCATTCCCTGCCATTCTGTTGTCGAGCTGAACGGTATGTCAGATGCCACCGGCACCAACTTCCAAACTTTACACGTGAGGAAGCAGGTGCTCCAAGGCTGCGACATGGCAACCTGGTGGGAGCACTGACTCCCATCTGAACTCTTCGGGTCCTAATCAAAAGGTCTTTGGTCACAGAATGCCTCCCCGTCCACCGGAATGCAGGCAGGGACCCTAACACTTAGATGAGAATTTGGGAAGAAGGCTTTAGCAGCGGTTCTCAACCTGTGGGTCGCGACCATCGGAAAACACATATAGCATATCAGATATTTACATTACGATTCATAACAGTAGCAAAATTACAGTTATGAAGTAGCAACGAAAATAATTTTATGGTTGGGGGTCACCACAACATGAGGAACTGTATTAAAGGGTTGCGGCATTAGGAAGGTTGAGAACCACTGCTTTAGAGAATCTCACCCCAACTCTTCCCTACAACTTCATTCCCCACGCCCTCGTCTTAGCCTCCCCTGAGAAAAGCCCAGTTTTAAACCTCGCAGGAGCTGAGATGATTGGCAAGCTAGCAGGTCTGCTCCACGTCCGGGTCTGGTCCCCTCTGCAGGGGAGGCTGGCAGTGCCCTGTACTTGGGACTGGCATTCCTTGGGCTGCCATCACTCCCCGTCATTCTCCTAGAGCAGTGAGGGCGAACCTTCTGAGCTCAGCGTGTCAGCATTTTGAAAAACCCTAACCTAACTCTGGTGCCGTGTCACATATAGAAATTTTTTGATATTTGCAACCATAGTAAAACAAAGACTTATATTTTTGATATTTATTTTATATATTTAAATGCCATTTAACAAAGAAAAATCAACCAAAAAAATGAGTTCGCGTGTCACCTGTGACACGCGTGTCATAGGTTCACCATCACTGTCCCAGACTGTCCCATCAGGCACTGTGCTCCCCAGGAAGCTCGGCTCTGCGTCTCTGGTCACAAGCAAAGTCCAGCTAATGCTGCAGTCAGAGTTAGTCTTGGGGGCTTAACAAAGTGACACTAAGGCAAAGCGGAAAGCCCCATTCGCATACCTGCCACTGCTCAGTCACAGTGAGTTTCATGCCAACCCTGGGAGCATAATTCCACATGCCTAGTTTCTTTCTTTTTTTTAAATAGATTTTTATTGATTTCAGAGAGGAAGGGAGAGGGAGAGAGAGTCAGAAACATCAATGATGAGAGAGAGTCATTGATTGGCTGCCTCCTGCACGCCCCCCCACTGGGGATTGAGCCCACAACCCGGGCATGTGCCCTGGACCGGAATCGAACCCAGGAGCCTTCAGTCCACAAGCCGACCCTCTATCCACTGAGCCAAACTGGCTAGAGCTCCACGTGCCTAGTTTCAATAAGGCAGATGGGCACACGCCCTTCTAATCACACTGGTTACTAACTTTTAGCATGAGGAAGGTAACGAAGATCATGTACAAGCAGTATGTCATCTAAAAAACATCAATTTCCCCTAAGGATCTAATTAGAGAACCAAGGCAGAGATACCCAGAACTATACAACTACCTCACACAGACACACACATCACCCACTCCGTCCTCACCAAGCCATTCAGATATCCATACAAGATGCTCAGACACACACTAGCGCACACATTCACCCACCGAGGCTCACACTGATACACAGCAAAGCGTGCTCTCAGCTACATAGTCAGGTATTTTCATGGAGCCGCGTTAACTCCCTCTTCCACATGCACACCCCACCCGAATCCCTCTCTGACATCACTGCTTAGCCTCACCCTGCAGGGCAAGGGCTCCCTTGTTGGGAGGGAGAACGTCCCCTCAGTCCTCACAGCGACAAGCGAGAGTGCATGAACCTTTGAAGGCAAAACCCCAGCTCCCCAAACACCAAAGCACCTTAGCGCCCATGTTCATGAAAAAAGAGAAAGATGCAATTCTCTGGTGCCAATCTACTTAACACATCGCTGCAAATGACCAAGCCTGTTTTCCTCCCTTTCCTGAGAAGATGTAGCAGTTGGGTCAACAACGACAGTATTTTCTGTCTCAAAATGCATGCATCCAGCTATTTGTAATGTGTAGAAATTCACTCGGAGACCCAATAAGGTTTCAAGTCACTGCTCACTGAGAAACATTAGCAGCAGCTGAAATTTCTATGACTGCGCTCCCCTTTAGCCAAAAGGGGGGAACATACCTGGGAATCATCAGCAAATGGGAGGGGGTGGGAGAGCCCCCAAGGCTGGTTCGGGAATAAAGCGACAGGGGGTTGAACCGGGAGGCGTTTTCCCATCTCACAGCCCCAGCTCCATGCAACCTCAGGTATCCATGTTGGCAGACATCCCGAGGGAAGCCAGTCGGGCGCCTTTTGGTCACCGGGACATCAGCGAGTGTTGCTGTTGTTGGCACTGTTACTGTTCCCCGCATTCCGCACGGCAGGGCGCTGGTACTCACCCCAGAAGACGAGTAGGAAGGAAGCCAGGGGGAGCGCTCCGCGGAAGGCAGGCATCTTCTTAGGTGGTCGCCTCCAGGGCTAAACAGCGACTCCCTCCACAACTGCGCCCTCGCAGACACTTTCGAGGAAACCCTTTGGGACGAACTGCCCCAAGGGGGCGACTTTCTCGCTGAAAGAGGCCAGGCGTCCGCGACCGGAGGCCCCGCGCGACTGC